ACACACACACACACACTCGTATGTATATTCTGCGACGTTTGCACATTGTCAGGATATAACTTCATGTTTAATGAAGACATGTAAACAGGCAGCACACACACACACACACTCGCTTTCTCCCTGCCTCCTCCCTTCTGCATTTTGGAGTGAGTGCGACAAGAACCAAGGAGAGAAAGAGAAATTATTCAATCAATCAGTCAAGTCCATCAACCAATTTCCACCCGTAAATAAGTCAGACTGAATGATTGAGAGACTCGCTTGGCCTGTTGCTGGGCTTAGTGGATCGTTTAAAGGGAGCAACTTAAAGAGCAACATTTCCATCCTTTAAACTGCTGCCAACTCAGTTTCGGTTTTGGTTTCGGTTTCGGTTTCGCTTTTGTTTGAAAATCAATTAATGTATCAATAATGAATAGGTTTTTGTTGTTGTTGAATAAGTGGTTTCGTTTCGTCTTGTTCCGCTCCTCCCATTTGAAGTCTTCAATTGAATATTTTAACATTTCCACTAATTGAATGGCATTCGCTGAGTGAAGCTTGATGGCCCTTGTATTTTGTCAGTTATATTTTTGTTACCACAAGAACTAAGCAAATGTTGTACCTATTGATTGTTTTTGTTAACTATGAATGGAGATAAAAGCTCCTTAAATACCAAATCAAAGGCGAAGAGAGATATAAATTCAACATTGAGCGAAACAACAAATAAATCAAAAATGTTTCCCAATATGGTAGATTGACTACAAGCATTATTAATATTATTAATATTATATTAAATATTATATTATTATTAGTATTAAGCGTTAAATTAATAATCAATATCAAACAAATTGAGGAGTTTTAGCTGCTCTCGCAGTTGAGCTAAATCGAATGTGGTCTCATATTTAAACCGAAAAATATCTCAATAAATGTAAATGAATCACGGGGGCCACTTCTCGCACACTCTAAGCAGAAAACCTTGACCTTGACAGAAGCATTTGATACTCAGCTACTGACCTGCACGTCCATCCAATGTAAATGCCAAAAATCACAGAGATCTGTCACAATATAATGAAACTATTAGACAGAGGTACAACCGGAGCTCATTGTACTGTCAAAATTAATTGTAGACTGCTGTACATTGTCCGGGCCCTCGTTGCTGCTGCTCCGTTCTCTCCTCTTCAATTTTGCTCTGATGTTTTCTGCCTCTGCCCCGACGGCCTCCTGCTATTTAGCATTCCCACTGGTATGCCCATCAATCTGTGTGTTGTGGCTCATTAAATCCCAGCAAGGAGAGCCGAACAGAGTCAGAGGCAGAGTCAGAAGCCGAACGAAATGTTCAAAACTTTGTTCCAATCCAACGCCTTTTGACCTTTTGCCTTGCCCCACCACTGTCTGCACTGCCATTTGCCCCATCATCCATGTACCATCATCTCCACCTTTGCAGTAGATACAAAGTGGCAGGGACAGGGGCAGGGATGTATGTCCTGAATTCTGACAGTAGTTGTAATCCGTTTAAAGTCTTTTTTTTTGCGGCCTGTAAACATTTTCGACTTTTAATTCACTTGACAGCAGTGGCTGCTCTCTCACTCACTCACTCGTGCCATCAGTTACCCACTCACTGACCCGTTCAGTAGGCCCTTGGCCTTGGCATTGGCATTGGCATTGGCGTTGCATTTTGTTGTTGGCTTTTTGGGGGTTCGGAGGGTTCTGCGTGCTAGAAAGGTCGTGTCCCGGAATAAATGTTGTTTTGACTGTGGCTCCTCCTTCACTCTGTTGTCCGATAAGAGTTGGGTAATTATGTTTCGAAAAGAATGCAAATTATGCTTCTGACTTTTGTGATGACAAGAACCCGAGGAAGCGAAGAAGATGAAGAAGAAATATAAGAATTAAAATAATATTCATTCATCAAAAACTGTTGACTTTTGTGGAATTGTATTCTCGAGAACTGATCAATTAAGCTGATTTATAGCTATACTTATTCAAAAAATATGCCACTAACGCATTCAAGTCTTAAAATATGACCACCTTAAACATGAAAATATTTTAAAAAATTGTCAAAGCTTCGACTTGTTAGTAAACTTTGTCTTTGAGTCGCCATACCTTCAATGAAAATTCCTGCGAGAGATGGTAACATTTTTTTTGTATACTCAATTGGTTTTGTGGCTATCCGCCCTGCAGATTCTGTGTAAAAACGGATGTGATCTCATTTTCGAGTCCTACAGTCTAATTTTTGTCTAAGTGTTATTAGACATATAAAAAATGTCAAAGAAAGAGGCACTAAAAGTGCTAGGATAATGGAAACTGTACATAAAGGGAGGAAAACGAATAGTTTAATGGATCTATCATGCACAGAAAGAGTATAAGATGATCGTCATCGCTTGAATTCAAAAATGACTAACGAATTATTCAATGCACACGTGTCGAAGGTTCACTCTGTGAGTTATCTGCAATAGTCTGCAATATAGCAAGCAAGTTTTTCATTGCCATGCCAACGCTTTGACATTCCTTTTAATGTATAGAATGTGTTTTTATACCCGGTACTCAAAGAGTATATCGGGTATATTGTATTTGTGCACAAAGTGAATGTATGTAACACACAGAAGGAAACGTTTCCGACCCCATAAAGTATATATATTCTTGGCCAGCATCAATAGCCGAGTCGACAGAGCCATGTCTGTCTCTCCGTCTGTCCGTCCGTCTTGTTTGTCGGCTAGTTCTCAGAGACTATAAGAGCTAGAGCCACCAAATTTTGCATCCATACTTCTGTATGCTCACAATGAGCCACGCCACCTTCCGCCACCGAAAAAGGGCGAAAACCTAAAAAAACCTACAATTTTGAAGATAAAAGAAAACTAAAAACGCCATTCCGTAGGGATCAGATCATATGGGATCCGATTGGATTATTATTATAGCCATAATGAATAAATCAATTTGCAGTGGCTAAACCCACCCTGTCCCGCAGCTTTTGTTGTTTTTTTTTTGACATTCTCTTTCACACTCAGCTTCGTGTAGTCAGCGAGAAGTGTTGTAGATGTAGATGACAGATGAAGAACAAATTTAAAATTTGACAAAACACCGCTAAAGTGCCGGGTATAAAGTTATGACGCGTAAGAAGCGTCTCACACGTCCCTTCTCGTTTTTTTGCGACTTTTAATTCAGTTGACAGCAGCTTGGCTGCTCTCAATCACACCAACACGAACGCAGACCATTGCATACCACTCGAATCAATTTCACTGACTGACTGACTGACTGACTGACTGACTGATTGACCCCTGCAGGCCCTCGACCTTCACATTGACTTTATCTTTTCGTGGTCAGCACGTGGGTTTGGTTCTGTGGGGGCTTTTGTGGACTAAAAAGGTCTTGTCCAAGGATAAATGTTGTTTTCACTGTGTGGTCCTGTGCTCACTCTCGTGTCCGATGAGAGTTGAGTTTTGGCAAATGAAATGTTTGGTAATTATGTTTTTGGATGCAAATACCTAAAGCACATGAAAGAATAATGAGAATAGGATGCAGAATTTTGGATCTATCATGCAGAAGAATAAGATTGTTAATCATATAATATTTATTTTAGAAAAACGGAAGGCGAAATCGCTAGGAAAGTTTTCCTCTAGTAATTGCGAAAATTTCGTACGAAGTTTCCTAAATTTCCACTGAATATTAGTGGCCATGCCCCCCACACACACACACACACACACACACACCCAAACACACACTTATATATTATTTAAAACAAAAATTTCTCAATTAATGTAAATGAATTCCCCGAACCCCCCAGGGGGGTGGTAATGTAAACCGAAGCCCCTAACACCATGAACCATAAACCCCACAGAGAACAAGATTTGAATGTGACATGTGCCTCGCATAACACACACACACACACACACACACATAGCCCACAGAGGCCATGGAAAAGGCCAAGAAAGCTTAAAGACTTGGGCCAAAACTCTTAAAGTGGGCTTTATGGGGTTAAGTGGGGGCGGCGGTTGGGGTGACTGCGGGTCTTGTAAGGGTTTTAGTTGCGGGGTTTATGTCAACGCGTTGGACTTTACTTAATTACCGGGAAATTTGTTAATATTTGCTGTACTCCTCATGCACACAGACAGAGACACTTCACAGACCCTGCTCCAACAGAAGCTTCTCCTTTCGCTCTCTCTCCGCTCTCTCTCTCTCGCATTTTCTCGTTCTCTATGCTTCCCCATTTGCTTGCGCGCATAAAAAGTGATAGAGCGAGGAAGAGACAGAGGTGCAGGGTGCAGAGTGCATGGTCCGTGTTGAGTGCTTTGTCGTGCGGTCGTAATTTAATTTTTTACTAAAAGAAAGCAAAGAAAAACGGATAGGAAGCAATAGCGAAGAGGGAGAGTGAAGTAAGAGAGGGAGCAGGAAGAGAAAAGAGTAGCGAAACAAGCGAGAGAGAGAGAGAGACACAGAGAGAGCGAAGAAGAAGGACACTCGAAAGTATGCAATGCAAAATTATGTTATGGCACCATGCAACTCTCTGTGCTTGTGTTTGTGTGGCAACGGATGCGAATAAAGGGTAAAATGCAAAATGGCCAATGAGCCAAAGAACCGCCTCGTGCAGAAGCCATATAACACACACAGACACACACACCATTGCAGAATTTTGCATGCCACAAATATTTTTCGGGGCCTAAATTGCAACCGCAGATTACAGCTTGAAAGTAAAGTAAAACTTCGAGCATCCAAAATGTAGACCCAGCAAACACTTTGAGAGCGATTGTGACAGTGGTCTGCTGCGTGCCAAACATGGCCAAATAACTGTTCCCGATCCGTGGAATATTCCTGGACATCCAACAGCTTTAACCAGTTGGGCCAAGTAGGGTGTCAACTCATTGAAAGTGCCGGCAAGCCCGTCACCTATGAGGTAGTGATGGAGTTGATGGCAAACATGAAGAACCGTCCCCTCACCACACTTGAGAGTCTCAGAGTTCTTGTTCTTGGCCTAATGAAAGGACATCAATTAAATATAATGCAAATAAATAAACGTTTCTTCGTTTCTATTGCAGATGATGGAGCATGCCTGGCGCAACTATAAGCTGTATGCTTGGGGCAAGAACGAGCTGCGTCCGCTGTCGCAGCGTCCGCATTCGGGCAGCATATTTGGATCCTATGATCTGGGTGCAACAATTGTCGATGGCCTGGACACGCTGTACATTATGGGGCTGGAGAACGAGTATCGGGAGGGTCGTGACTGGATTGAGCGTAAATTCACGCTGGACAACATCAGTGCAGAGCTGAGCGTGTTTGAGACGAACATTCGGTTTGTGGGCGGCATGCTGACCCTGTACGCCTTCACCGGTGATCCGCTGTACAAGGAGAAAGCACAGCATGTGGCCGACAAGCTGCTGCCTGCCTTCCAAACGCCCACGGGCATACCCTATGCCCTGGTCAACACAAAGTCCGGCGTGGCCAAGAACTATGGCTGGGCATCGGGCGGTAGCTCGATCCTCTCGGAATTTGGCACACTGCATTTGGAGTTTGCCTATCTGAGTGACATTACCGGCAATCCGTTGTACCGCGAACGCGTTCAGACCATCCGCCAGGTGCTCAAGGAAATCGAAAAGCCAAAGGGATTGTATCCCAATTTTCTCAATCCAAAGACGGGCAAATGGGGACAACGTAAGTGGCAGTGGATTATTCCTCACTGTAGTGTTCTCTGATCATTTCTGTTGTTGCAGTTCACATGTCGCTGGGCGCCTTGGGGGACAGCTACTACGAGTACTTGCTGAAGGCCTGGCTGCAGTCGGGACAAACGGACGAGGAGGCGCGCGAGATGTATGACGAGGCAATGGTGGCGATCATGGATAAAATGGTGCGCACCAGCCCCAATGGACTGACGTATGTGTCCGATCTCAAGTTTGATCGTTTGGAGCATAAAATGGATCATTTGGCATGCTTTTCAGGTGAGTTTTGAATCGATTTACACGAGGATGCCACGATGGCTGTAACCCTCCAACTCTCTTTTAATTCCATTCCAGGCGGCCTGTTTGCCCTAGGCGCTGCCACACGCCAAAACGAGCACCGGGACAAGTACATGGAGGTGGGCAAGGGCATTACAAACACTTGCCACGAGAGCTACATACGAGCGCCGACACAACTGGGACCCGAAGCATTCCGGTATGATCAATAAATCTTTGCTGCAAACACCACAACAGCGATCTCTGTCTCTTCGTAAAGTTTCAGCGATGCTGTGGAAGCGCGGGCCCTGCGGTCACAGGAAAAGTACTACATACTGCGTCCGGAGACATTTGAGAGCTACTTTGTGCTGTGGCGCCTCACGCACGATCAGAAGTATCGCGATTGGGGCTGGGAGGCGGTGCTGGCACTGGAGAAGCATTGCCGCACACCACATGGCTATTGCGGCCTGCGTAATGTCTATCAGCAGGAGCCACAGAAGGATGATGTGCAACAGAGCTTCTTCCTTGCCGAAACACTAAAGGTTCGAGTCACAATTAAACACGACATGAGGAAGCTTAAACCAATAATTATCTTGTTTACTGTATCTGTGTCTCTAGTATCTGTACTTGCTGTTCTCGGATGATTCGGTACTGCCGCTGGACGAATGGGTGTTCAACACGGAGGCGCATCCGCTGCCCATTAAGGGTGCCAATCAGTACTATCGTCAGGCGCCCGTTACGCTGCCCGTCTCGAATGCCTCATAAGAGACCCGACACTACTGGCAGCTGCTTCTCTTGTCTATAGCAATGCACTTTACTTAGCTCCTCATATGTACTAAAGCCAAAAGTGCATATAACCTCCTCTTTTTTTCTTCTTTTTTTTTGTTTTTTTTTTTAAGTTTTAAGCTAGTTTACAACGTAATGACAACTACAACTGCATAAGGCAACAAAAGAAAAGAAGGAAAGTAACGAAATGAAAATGAAAATGAAAATGTAATCTTTAGCAGGCACACAGCAAACCACACACAAACGAGAAAAAAACTTTCAATGTAACATATTTATCAAAGCTAAATTATGGTATCCGTTTACATATAATTATATCGTAGTTCAATTGTAGCTGTCTTCAGACACAATTCTAATCTCTATCTCTATCAACAAATTTGACAGTGGGCCTCAAAGACCCCAACAACATTTTCAACTTCAATACAAAGATGATGAACGATACATGATAAATAATAATGTAGATGTAGAAAAAACTCTTGATATTAAAAACATTGATATGTAAAACGATATATATGTATGTTTATATATGTACATATATACATATATGTATATATATGTTAAACTCAGGTGTTCTAATTATGATTTACCTTGCGCTCTCAAGGCTCTTTCTCTATAACCAACTAACTATAAAGACTAGTAAAAGTAATCGTATCTAACTCTCTCAATCATTCTACACGCAATTCTCAATCTATGACTATATCTTTTCTACTGTACGATTATTGTATGTACAACTAGCAGGCATTTCTCTTGCTCTAATTTCCAACTTTGTTTTGTAAATAATTCACTTTCACTCCCAAAAATGAAGGATGAAAACGAAAATGAGCAACAGAATAAAAGATGATAAGAAAATTGAATTGATATTTATATATATAAAATATAAATATAATCTAACATAAAAGTGTTTATTTTTTAGACTAAATATATAGAGAATATGTTTAGAAATATTATATAGAAACTAGCTTACTTTATGAGGGCAACAATTTAACGCAAATTACCTTAAATCCAGAACATCAAACGAATAGAATTGTAAATTAAATATAATATATAGTATATGTATATCTCTATATTTGTAATAAACTAATTATACAAGGGCACGAGCAGAGAGAATGGTAACATAATTTTTAAACGAAATGTAAAGGTTTTTATAATCTTAATCATGATAATTGTAATTGTAATCATAGGCCTTAACGACAGACACACACATACACAAAAAAACACCTTTATAGATGAGTAATTGAATAGTTTTCGTGCAGGTGATTTAAACAGACAACAATTAATTCCAATAATGACATAAAAGCAACAACAAAATATTTAAACAATTTCAGAAATAATAAACTATAAAAACAACAAATTACAAGCCAAGAAAAATATAAAAAAAGTAGATTACCTAAACACATCAATTAAAAATAAGAAAAGGAGATAAAAACAATGACGAAATTCAAGAAAATATCAACTTAAAGGAAGCACACTCACTTTAATTGAAAGGTGAACAAATAAACGTTAAAAAGTTGAAAAAACGAGCTTTAAATGAAATAATTGAAATGAAATGATCTAAAGAGAATCGAATCTTAATAAAAATAACCAACAGATTATAAAAATCACCAAGCAAAGTGATTAGAAAGAGTTTGTAACTAAAGCTGAATAAATCATTACATTTTATGAAAACACCAAATTAAATGACAAACTAAGTAACAATTAAAGGTATCATAAAATAACTTAAAACAAAATGAAAATTAAATAAACTTAGTCTCAAAAATATATTCTTTAAATGTTGTTATTACCCTTTTGATATTGGACAGCTAATGATTAACTTGAAATAGTTTTAAATAAATAATAACGAGAAAAAGTAAAAACATAAACACTTAATTGGAAAATCTAAGAAAAGTGTAAATGACAGCATTAAAAATTAACACAGGATAAAAATCACAAGTAAATTAAAACTATTTAAATAAATATAATGGTAGACTTAACACCAATTTTTTTGTTTGTTTAGATCAAATTAGAATTGAGGCGATTGATACACATGTGTATTATGATATATACACATATTAGTAATAATTATGCATGGTATATGTATGTATGTATCGGGCGATGCGATACAATATAAAGATTCGAGTGGCAATATGTAAATGCATGACCATGAATGGATTGCATACATATATCCGCAGTTAATCGACTGCTGGAGGTTACATCTGTATTTGGATTAAAAGCATAAGTTTAATAAAGATCTAATGAATAACTTAATACAGAACGGATCATTGGATATTAACATTTATACCCATTGCAGGGGTTATCAATGGAGAGATGTCAGGCAGAGATTAGATTCGGATCAATTTCAAGCAGATACTTGAAGAAATTGAAGATGCATTCAAAGCTTTATAACTTTCAGTTTATTTACTGTACCGATAGGAATAATACAATTTAACACCTTTTTGAGTACAGTTTTCAGTGTTTGTATAGTGATGCTTGGATGAAAAAGATATGTGAAAGATAACCCTTTGACGTCTCTTAATCAAATCTATCATATTGAATACCAAATAATTCCTCATAATGCTCAATTCTTTGGCTTAGAACTGTAACCCGTATTGTTCTTTATCTCGACATTCAATGATAATTTATCAATAGCTTGTCTACCTTTAACTAATACAACGCCCGTCAGCAATCAATGGGCTTGGAGTACACAATTAAATACTAAAGCTATTCGCGTGCTTAATTAATGAGCCGCCAACCCATATACATATGTACGTACAGTGCGTGCTTAAACTACATGTATGCCCGTGTATATGTTAAAGTGTGCGTATACTTAATGAACAAACTTCGCACAAAAGGCAAGTCACAAAGGAAAGTGAGGTTAACAACATTCGAGAACCCGGAAAGGGAGTCCGGCAGACAGTCACCCTGCCCCCCTACACACTCCACTTAATTCCCGACAAATGTATCTCTCCAATTGCCGTTCAAAGTCCAACCGTAAGCATCAAAACAGCTCTTGCAGTCCCCGGAATGGAGAATGGCAAAACGGGAACAAAGCATAAACATAAAATGAACTGCAAACGACCTGCAATCCCACCACCGCCCACTTTCCACACCCGCGATACCGAAATTTTTGCAACGAAAACCGCTCGCACAAAGGCAAACAGAGGGAGAGCGAACAGCAGAGACCGGTCGGTCTCTCCATTGCCTTGCTCTTTCGAGTGACGCTCTCTCGCTCTCTGGCTTTCTTTGTGTTCTCCCGTGCCTGCTTGGGGTTCTCTGTTTGGTTGTTGTTTCTCCTTTGTTGGCTAGACCAAGGCAAGGTGTTTTCGATGTTAGGTGATGTGTCGCAAGGGTTTCTCAATTTCATTTAGAGCTTGAGCACAAAGGTAATGGAGAGCTCAGGAGAGTGGTAATCGCCACCTTATTAAAATGTACAATGGACGAGCCCACAAAACCAGACCCAACCAAGCACAGCTGGGTTCTCTGTGTTCGTTTTTGTTGTCTGGCTGCTTTGCCACCCTCGATTTTTCAGAGAGGCAGCGAGAGAGTTTGCTTAGACTGATTTTCCGTTAACTGCAGTTGCGCGCTTATGCTTTCAGGGTATCTGCAGGTCGACTCTTGTGCCGAGCGTTGCGTTCCGTTTTTGTTTTGTTTGTTGATGCGAATGGCGGCGTCGCTTCTAGCGAACCGCACAGTTCGTTTCGAGTGTTCGAGGAGAGCGCCAGCAAAACTCCAATAGAAGCAGCGACAGTGCTCCCAGCTCCTACTGCATCTCAAGGAAACCCCTGATCTTCCAGTGACAGTGTTTATTTTTTGCAAGTGCAAGTGACAGCAGAATGCCCTTCCCTATTCATCCGCCCAAGCAGATGCCCTGCCCCCACTGGCAGCATTTCCCCATCAGCCCGGTGGACACCAAGGCCAATCCGTTCGACTCCATGGGCGGAGCCGCTAGCGCCGCCAATGGCTCCACTGCGGTGAACAAGCCACCAGAGCCAGTTTCCTATCGCTACTGTCTGCAGTGCAAGGCGAGTGGCAAGGAGGGAGGCAACAACTCCGACCGGGACTAACGGGAGGGCAATGCACCGAACCGACCCGGCCAGCTCGGCTCACCTTCTAGCCACCCACAATCCACCATCTACTGCTAACCACAATCCACCTTCAACGCCATCATAATCATCGTTCACTTCAGACGCTTCCAATGTGACACTAACATAATATAAAGAGAGAGGAAGCGCCCTCAGTGGCTGCTGCTGCTGCTGCTGTTGCTGAACACTCGAAAGTTCTGCTCTGCTGGAGAAGACGCTTGGCAGCGGTGCAGCGGCACCAGAAGTGCATTTTGGAAACTTAATTAAAATGAAAATGGGAAAACTAAGTTTTTTTGGTTAAGCCTAAGCAGATGTTTTTTTTTGTTTCTATTTTTACCTGTTTTGCGTGCCAATTTTCGCTTTTAATTTAAGCATTTTGTATTTAGAGCTAAAGACTACAATTTATACGATTTTATATGGATCTTAATAAGCACGAATAAAACGCACGACGCATTTTAAACAAGAAGTAACCACACTGTATTCGGGGGTCGAAACATTTGATACTCTTGCATATCCATTGTTACTAACATTTGTCCAAACATTCGCTGCAAGTTATAGTACTCTCTGAAAGTGTATCAAAACGGGTTCCACGCGTATGCTACTCTGTGAGTGCGCGTTTGTGTTTTGTGGGTTCTTGCTCAGCGGCACAGTTTTTGTTGTTTCTTCATTATTTTTGGGCCTCAACCCAGACTTTGTTATTTGTTTTCGTCTTCAGTTTCGCTCTCAGCCGATCGTTTCGTTTCTGTTTTTATCAATTTCTCAAGGTCAAACTGTACAAACAAAGGTGCGATAAGCTGGGAGGGACAGAACCAGCGCGGCTTGAATTTTGGTGGTCCGTTCTGGCACATTCGTTGCTGCTTCTTCTCCACCAATGATAGGAAGATAGAGACGAAGCGAGAGAGAGAGAGAGAGTGTGAGAGCGATAAGTTCAACAAACCGTTGGAACGTGGTGGAGAGTATAAAGAAAGCGAAAGCAAAGAAGAGCTGCATTGGTCTGGCGCATGCAAAAATGCACTCCGCGTACAGTGGTGTCTAACAAGTTGTAGCCCTAGAGCTCTCCTCTTTTCATGAACCCTTTTTTGCACATATTTGTACTCACATTATATCTTGGATGT